TATCACAACCATAGACACCTCCCGCAACATTCTGAATCTCAACAAAAGTCAAGTCATTCACCAACGGTGCAACGTCTTGGTCTGGGAACGAAGCCCAATTGTCTGGAAATGTATTAGGAAGAGTTTAAAGCTTGAGTGAGCAGCGCCTAGGGTGAAAGGGCCGAGAGGGTAGGGGAGTGGAGAAGGGAAAATGAACATACAGCAAACACCAGGCTCAACGCTCAACGCCGCACAGAAACCACTTCCTCTTGAGATACCATAGGGACACGGATCTCCCTCCGGGAATGTGGAGTCAGTGCATGGGTAAATGTCACCAGCTGTCTGTCTTGCAACATTCGGAGCTGCTGAGATGAGGGTGGTGATTGAGGCCAAAGAAATAATTGAGGTTGAGGACTGCATCTTGACTTTGCAAGTTTTGTTAGTGTATGTAAGTGAATGGATTGCAGACTGGTAGATTGATGTTGTATAACAGGAACATATTGGAGAGGCTCAATATATTCTCAATGCTTGAGCAAAGAAGCATCAAGCCCCAGCCGCAAACCCCGGTCAGCAATACGGGACGAAAAAAAGATACGGTCTTGGCATATGTGACATGGGAGAAAAGTGACGTTAGAAGGATGATATCAAGGCGCTTTATGATTATTAAGAAGTTTCCAGCAAGGAACACGAATTAGACGAGACAGTTACAGATTGGAATACTTCCGACTTCAGATAGTGAAGACGCAAATCATGCTTTCCGATCACGGCTGAAGAACGGCCGCTGTAAGCTTCACTAGTTGATGAGGAAGGAGTGCTTGGGGTCGAGAACTTCTCTCCTCAATTAAGCTAACTTGGGTATGTCCGAAATCGAATGGGTGATCATACATTAAACATGGAATTCCTGCTTGGGTTGGATCGAAGAAGCCCAACTAGGCTGTGGTTGCGCTTCGCAAACTCGCCACGGCCCTGCTTGCCGCTTGGAAGCTAAGCATGCACATCGTAAGTAATCGGGAACAACCGCATATTCGACGATATTGCATTATCCTGCTGTACCTACACAGCTATACCACGTCTAGACCAACCATCGGGGCCCTTCCAAGCCTGTACCTAGAGTCAGTATACTTCTTTCGAACAGAGCGGGGAGGAGGCTAAGTCAAATGCATTCTTCTGGGAGTTGCAGCGAGTAGAACTCGTGAACAGAGCCAGAAGAGAAATATGGCTCAGGAGGAGTCGACTTACCCAAACCCAAAGTCCACATCCGACCCAGACTGAAATTGCCATTAGCCAGAAGGTAGATTCATAGCATTGCTTGCCATAACACAAAACATCTTCATCCATATCACTGAAGGAAGATCCCTTGTTCGCTGCCCACTGATAAACATTCGAATAAATGATACCCCATATGGTCGCTCCCGCTGCGGGCACCATTGCCACAATTCCCCAATTAGTGCCGAAGTTTTCAACACCCCAAATAACGCTAATAATAAGAGGCGTCAAACTGAAAAGGGCTCCGTACCCTGAACCGATCAGGGTTGATACTAGCCAGAATCGCTCGGCGTGATTCTGAATAAGGCCAGAAGCCAGGATGACTTGTCCAAGGGACAACATCAATGCAGATACGAGCAGGAACGTTACTCGTGAAATTGTGAAGCGGGTTTCACGTGGTGGTAATGAGGCCAGAGAGTTGGCAGCTGATTGGTAGTGATGCGCTGCTGGAGTAGGAGCCAAGAGATCGGTCATGGTACCAAAGAATATACGAGCAACCGTCGAAGTAATGGCAACGATGGAGACATGTGTAGCTGCGGATGTGGGGACGATAGCGACGACAGGATGTGGAGGATAGAGAGTGCCAATGATGGTACCCAAATTCGTGATGAAAGCTTCGCCAGGACCTGCAACACGTTAGGATCTAGCTTTCTTTAGGAAACAGAGAACATACCTGATACCACGAGGAAACCCGCTGCCAGCCACCACATTGTGTGGTCTTTGAGGAATCTGCGGGTCTCCTCGTTCAACAGCCAAGTCTTCTTTCGAGCCTCCTCTTCTTCATGCACCTTATTGCCATCCTCTATACTCCGAACCTCCTGAGCATCATCATACAGGGCATTGTCGATCGCGCCATAGCCTCTGCCACCTCGAAAGAACTCACTGTCCTCCAGGAGGCCGCTCCTCTCGAGCTCTTCGACCGCTTCATCGATCAATTCGTCTTCGTCAACAATCTTGAGCAGGAATGTTCCGAGCATGCCCACCGCCAGCAGTGTAAATGCCAGAAACAAAAAGAACTTGAACACATCCACATCGCCTCTCTCTCCATTATGCCTACGCTCATATAGTATCCGACTGCCGACCTGACTCTGCCACATCCCGCTGAGCCCGAAGGCAGCAATTGGACTTGCCAACGCCAATCCCTTATGCTTCCCCTTCCCGAAATTCTTCGCACACGTCGTGACAGCGCTGAGATACATCAACGTAGTTGCCATCCCGATAATAACAAATGCTGTCACCATAACCCACAGAGGCCAACCCCGCTCTACTGTGTATCCGTAGATGTCCTTTGCCCCACTCTTATATGTGAATGCTGCCAGCAGATATCCCAACCCGAACAATATAGCGGAACAGAATGAAAGAGGAGCTGGTCCGTAGCGATCGCAGAAGTATCCGAATAAGGATACGGGGAGGTATAAAGCTAGCTCTGCTCCAATGACTACAATGTTGACCTGTAATTGTGTGTACCTGAGTCGTTCCTGGAAGAGATGGCCGTACAGCGAGTAGGCAGTAATTGAACCCGCGCAGAGGCATGATAATATGGCAGATGAGAAAGCAACATATCTCGCTATGTCTCGTCGTCGAGCGAGGTTCTTTCGTGCAAGGGAGGAGGATGAGGAGCTGATGAATGATTCGTGGTCGGATGCAAGGAGGGGTGTGCGATTCGAAGCCATCTTGTGGCTGGGAGGATGGCCGTTTGTAGGACGGCGTCTGTCTAATTTTACATGTATGAAGAAATATGTACAGTTGTAGATATTAAGTAGATGTTGATGTTGTTGATGTTGTGTCGAGGAAGTTGGAGCAGAGCCGGACCTCGGGGCTTCATGAGTCAATGCCTGCAAAGGCGTCATCGACCCTTCTTCCTCATGATCAAAACATCGCGAATCATGGCTGAATCGTAACTGCGTACCTGCATCAGGAAAATTATCCTCACCAGTGACCTTTTCTTCCGAATTGTCACACGCAGGTTCGTATCATTTTTAATTGAATTTTTCTGTCCATTCTCTCTGTACCAGACTTTTCATCGCAAAACAAGCATGCATATACGCATCTTCATCCCTTCTCCGCTCATTTGTATTCTGAACTGTCTGCCATAGGAAGAGAAAACTCTATGCGCCTGGCATTATGCATCAACATTGGCTCCCTCGTTTCCGATCCTCGTCCACTGTACTCTTTCTAGTCGGGCCTCAACCAGAGGCCCTGGGCCTTCAATAGAGAGCTCGTAGTCGCTTCCAGTCACACTATCCTCCCTCTTCTTCGCACAAAAGGCTCCAGTAGAGCAATAATGCCCTCTCTCTGAACCTTCGATAATCGACGTACTACAATTTCGGGGGCTCGACCATATATACTTGCTCTCCTTCCTGTGCCTCGAGATGTTCGGTCTGAGGAGGACGTTATCCTCGGGCCGGACAGCGAAGTCAATAGCTAGCTTTTTGAATCGCGGGAATGCAGACATATGCATCTCGATGTACGATGGTATCTTACTCAGATCCTCCTCAGAATAACTAAGCCAGTCGTCGTCATCGTCGAAGCTGTATCGATAGTCGTTGTCCTTCCCCAGATCGCAGCAAGATATCGAACTTCAATGAATTGCAGATTACAGTACGCCAGCTTGCTCTCCTTGATACTTTCCGGCCATAGAATTTGAACCGGTCTGTCCAGGCTCTCACCATGAGCTCTTTCAGAATCATGTCATATAGGAGGTCAGCATTTAACTTTCCTAGCTAGGCAAACAATGCACTGCCGCGGTATCTGGTATTATGGATCAAAGTGTTCCTGTCTGCCAGAGGAACTTGACACGTTTCTTCTGGCCATTAAGCAGACCAGTCATCTCAACATGTCCATGGATCCTGAAAGCACTCTCAAGTCTAGGCCCAAATATGAACGCGACAACTTGGTCTCTGAGTACAATATTAATTCACTCGGTATGAAAGAAGTGGTACACCTTCAGGATCTTTGAGATGTGGGCCTTGAAATCCCACTGTGCTTTCTTAGTATCTTCACTCAGCATAATTTGATTTGCCTTTCAACACCTGGAAACCTAGTATCGCCACCCTCGATTCTAACGATCATGATGAACTTTTCGTCCGGATCGACGAGAGGAGGTCCTGAAAGAATTTTCTCTAAGATCAACAATTTCATGCCGTCCTTAAACTTTGCAAACATTGTATCTGAAGTTAACTACCTGCTTCGAAAGGCAATTCCGCGAAAGTATTGTGCTACTTCGTACCTTCGAATTTCTTTCATCCTTTTCTTCTTCCTTTGCCTCTTGCACATCACTTTGGCTGCCGAGGTTCAGTTCCTAGAAGTGTTCGTCTAATGCATCGTACCGAAAGTGTCTGGACTTTGAGCCTGCTTCTGTAGGCCTGAAGCAAAATCTGAGGGGACTGGCTAGTATATAAATAGCTTTATTAATAAAGCCACAACGCGCATCCTCCTAGCCGCCATGCTGGCCATCTTGGTAATGCATCTTGCATCGTGGTTGTGCTAAAAATTGAAGTACATCCCTGTTTGTCAAAGAGCGCTGGTACCTATCCTTCATTATCCCAGCATTTGAAAGACATCAACAATTCCGACTCCTTCACTGCAGAGAGGCCATGATGCGACTGAACTTCAGCATCAGACAAACCCTACCAAGCCCCTTTCCCACCTCGTCTATCTCGCTTGCGCCACTTCGCCTCTCCTAGTTGCAGCAACCTCCTTCCCTTGGCATCCTCAAAAGTCAGCAAAAGAGCGCCAAAAAGAAGTTATCAAATTGGCCAGGCAAGGAATCGAACCTCGATCTTCCCGTCTTCTGCTCTCCACCCAAAATCCTCGGTCCAAAAACCCGATCAGGGGTTGCGGAGAGCATTGACAGGACGTGCTAACCATTGCACTACCCGGCCGATATTACCGTGGCACTATGAAGACGTTGAGGTTGTCTGATGGTGTGTTTGGGCTTATCTAAAATGATACGGACGTGTCGTGAAATGGTCGGGGAGCTACGGCTCGGTTATGTGTTTCTTTGCCAGTTCATGAATGTCCCACATCCATTGTGTACCAAAGTCCAGCACCCTGGACGAGAATGTCTGTAACCAGACATTTGCTCACTTTGCCTTAGTACAAGTTTTATAGCGAGGCCCTTGGAACAGACATTTTTCATTTCGTTATGGGGTATATTGCGTATCACTCACGTCACATCACTATCCTTCCTCCCCTTCCCGTCGTCGAATTCACCGGACGCCCATTCAACCCATTCAGCCCATCCCTACTCCTACTCGTACTACTCGACCCCCTGAGGTACTCAGCATACAACTCGCTCTCATCCTCCGGTTCCCCTCTAACCCCCCTCTCACCCCCATTTCCCATCGCAAACCCATTAACCCTCCCTAGTCCCATCCCTCTTTCCCCAATCCTCGTCCTCCTCGGTCCAAAACTATCCGTATGGTCACCATTCACACTTCCCGCCTTCCTTACACTCGGCGTCCTACTTCCTGCTCTAGAAACCCTGCCGTAAGATCCGTATCTTCGTTTATCATCCAAATCATATCATCAATCGTCATCATATCAGCCAAATGATCTCTCCTCCCAAGACTTTCGGTCAGGGAAATACTCCCAAGCCCACCACTATACTGATACCTACCTTCCTGCTCTCCATCGACAGGAACAATTACAACCATCCAAACCCCAACTCGGTCGTCAGACCCAAGTAAAGGTGTACAACGGATAAAGCGTGGTTTTGCTTCAGCGGGTCCACGCCCACGTTCGCCGACGTAGGTGTTTTTGGGGAGCCAGAGGACTTTAGCGGTTACAGAGGCGCCGTCTCAGAAGGCGGATTCGAGAGCTGATATGGTGGCGCTGGGGCCACCGAGTTTGGTGAAGAGGTGGATGCGGAGGAGGCCGGGGATCCGGAGGGAGGGGGAGACGAATATTATTTGTAAGGAGGGGTGTGGGCGGACGAGGAGGTACTGGAGAGATGTTAGTCGAGCAATCGAAGGGGCAATATGAGGGTGAAGGAAAGTCTAACAAATCGGCTGCCGCAAAGTCTGAATTTACTTTGACGATCTCCGCTCTTGACTTTTTGATGTCCCTGGCCTGGGAGGTTGAGAGAAACTTACATATTTATAAACTCCAGGAAGATTACTCGTTGCCGGATTCCCATTGAGATTAAGTCCATTAAAATTCAGCCCACCGCCTTCCCCCAACTCATCACCCCCAATAATTCTCCTCCTCTGATTCCTATCCTTAACACTAGTCAGCACCCCACTCACACTCCCCGCATCCGTCGAATCTTCTCCTCCCCTCAAATTTCTATTCACCACATCACTCTCATCCTGACTAAACATCATACTCAATTCCTGTAGCTTTGCGTGCGTGTCTTTCGTCTTTAGTGTTACGGGCAGTATCCCATTTGGAGGGTTTGGGGTCTCAGATCGTCTTTCTAACTCTATTTGTCCGTCTTTTTCTTTTTGGAGGAGTTGCCGGAAGGATTCGATACCTAGTCCTTCTCGTACCAAACCGGTTACGTCGACTTGCGCGCCGATGAAGTAGCGGACTATGCCTTTGTCGTCGTAGAGAGGAGCGCACATTAATAGATTCACGAAGGGGGTTCCGTCCCGTCGACTAAAGCTGGTTAGTCCCGGATGAAGAATGACACTTCTTGGAAACTTACTAATTCAAGAGTATCTCGTTATACTCTTGACCTAATGAGGCTGCCTTCACGATCCTCAAGGTGGTATCTTTATCTGTATCAGGTCCTTGAAGAAATCTGCAGTTGCGGTCGATCGCGTAGGTTGTTCCATACTGTGAGTTCTGTGGAATTCTGCGTAGTTGAATGTTAGCGTTGCAATGTTTACGAGAAAGATATCTCTACCTTCCGACGCAAAAATTATTGGATTGTCATGTATTGAAGGGTCCGTTAGACAGAAGACTTCCCCAAGATTTCCAACAAGATCCTTCACAATTGGGATGCTTTGACCAGTCAGGCCTTTCCCAACACAATCTCCGACAACCGCTATCAAAGTGTATGTTACGAAGGCAGGAAGAGCCTCTGCGCAGAGTAGCAGAAGCTCTCGCGCCGCGTGGTCTTGAAATCGCGCATCCGCAGAAGCAGCTTGAACGCGAGAAAACTTGCAAAAGTCTGTGTGAGACGGCCAACGAATCGTCCTGACAATCGCATTGGCATATTCAATCGCCCTCATCGCCTTTCTCATCTCCAGGTAGCGAACCAATGTCGGTACAAGATGCGTTCTGTATCTGTTGAGGAAACTCGAGAACCGGTGGAATAAGACATGGTCTCCGAGGATGAAGTGCAGGTGCTCAGCGCTGATTAACTGTCTCATTACATCTTCAATCCTAACGTAATCTGTGTTATGGGGTGGAGGCTGGAGGTCAAAGAACTCTGGCTCAGACTGGGCTGGTGTATCTTGCTCTCTTGGTGCTTCAACAGAAGTCCGGTCACTGCCATCATCCATACTAATAGAGAGGAGAGTGTCTTGAAGTTGATCCAAGCCAGGAACGGATGTGAGGGAGAGTTGAGTAGTAGATATGGTAGGGCTGCTTTGAACAGTGGAAAACTCCATTTAAGAGATGTGATGAGGCTTGCATGGTGAACTCTTGCTGGATGCCTTTTCCCATCGACTCAGCAGGAAGGATGGGTCTAAACAACATAAAATGCCCGTGATCGCATGGATAAGGCCAGGTTTTCTGCACGCAATTTATTTGTGCAGGGCCGAGGTCCTAGATCTTGACCAAAAGTCATTCCCCCAGTTCATCAGGGACATGCTAGTGAAACGACCTTGGGTCTGTCGTGGATTTTTGTGGGTATATAATGTTGTACTACTGAAAGGTATGCACCCTCAACGTGCCGGACAGGCAGACTCAGTGCTAGCGGGAGATATTCCCCATAGTCCGCGATATGTTGGCCTATGAAAAAAGAAGTAGCGTTCTCACTGGAAGGACGAACCCCGGTAGATATCGAGGCCATGTTAGCTTTCGTCAGCTCGATCAATGAAAGGAAGTTTTGCTGTCTGTGAGGCTATCCCTTCGTCTGGTGAGACATAGTCCACGCTAGGCATCACAGCTAAATAATCGTGGTTGCCTAACGATTTTAGTTGTGATGCCTGGCGTGGACTATGTCTCACCAGACGAAGGGATACCTATAGGTCTGTGCTAACGCCTAGGAGGAATAAGGAGGACTGAGGATTCCCGCGCGGCTCGATGAACGCGCGATACGAAGGACGCGGTGAAAAGTTTGGGAAATACAGGGGCTTATAGGGACAATGCCCTGTAAGGCCTTGTAATGTCTCATTGGAGCCCCATCAGCCCTCTTGATTGGCTCGATCAGTGTAATCCTACCCCTTTGGGCCATGGTGGCGCTGAAAATCAGGGCTTGAGAGCCTGTCGAGCCTAACTTTTAATGGGTCGAGGCGCTTTTACAGTGAGTCCTGTGGATGATCACCGTTCAGGGCATAGGGTGAGACCTTACAGGGCATTATAGCGTATCCCCCTGTATTTCCCAGACTTTTGACCGCGTCCTTCGTACTCGATGCGCATGGCGATAGAGTTCGTCGCTCATCTCAAACACAAACGGGCCTGGCCGTGCTGGATCCGCTAGACGGGATCGCCCATGTAGACGCATGCTTCGGGCGGACCCTGGAATCCCAATGCCCTGAGCGTTGGGAGACTGGGGTTTGAAAATTCCTAAAAAAAATTCCGGTGTGGGGTCGGTTGCCTTGTCAATTATCACGGTACTTCAAGAGCAGCGATCTGAAAATCACTGCATATCCGACCAAAAGAAAGAAAACAGAAGTGCCATAACAAGGGATTTGACAACTAGCCTTGATAGCCAGGGTACCTTGAATACACCTGTTAGGTCAGAACGTAGTGAGAGGGGCCGTGCGGGCATCCTTTTGAAAACTTGAAAGATGATTCGTGCTCGGATCAGGGCGAGGACTTGGACGAGGACATGGATCGTATGAACTCAATACAAGTGACAACGAATCTTGATCGGTACTTGGAGCCTTATGTGTTACGTGCTGTGGAGGCAAGTGCATTATACGAGGAGATGAAACCGGCCGAAGACGTGGATTGCGGAGGAGGAAAAGACGAATCAGCACAAACTTCGAGGATTTCGCAAAGGTGGCTAAACTGGGCGAAGTGGATTCGAGAAATCTGATTGAGCATTTTAATAGACCCGCGGTGATGAACATCGGGGAGACAAAGAAATTTTCTCTAGAAGTTAATTTGTCATTGAGAGCTGGGCTTTCAACAGCCTTTCGTATTGTTCGTTTAGGATAGGTGGAAAGTATGAACAGGCCGTCCATATTCGGAAGGCGGGTCGTGCCACTAAGCCGAGGATTAGTGGCAGCTGTAGTTTCCGCTTGTCGCTCTTATTCAGATAACTTTCAACACGGCTCGAACGGTAATGATAACTGCGAACCTCTGGAAGCGATAGTAGATAGCGCGGATGATGCGTCAATCAGTTCCTTTGTAGGCCATTGATACTGTCAACATACGCTCATTCTCACACCACCTTGAGTTCGTACCGCATGAGCTCGTCAAGAAACATTGCGAGGTTCTGGAGCCAGAGCATAGTTTCCCAGTCGATTCGTACAGCTTTCCGATATGGGACCAATACGAGCACTTGCTGAGCAATTGACATCTCCCTAATCTCGGATAGACTGTCATTGAAGAACGAAGCCGGAAGCAAGCGGGGTTTCCCACAGCATGGTCAGCCCCTTTCTTGTCCCAAACTGATCCCCAATTGGTGTCGGGTAAAGGCTGAATCCTCGAGAAAGTTGACCTAGGATTAGGCGTTGAGCGTCGAAAGAAGCGTGAGTGGAGAAATAACTTCGAAGTATGTCCATGAATACACATTTAAGCCCCTAGATGGGATGTCCTGGGA